TTTGAGACAGTGTCTCACTCTGTCACCCAGGCTGGAGGACAGTGGTGTAACCTCAGCTCACTGCAACCTCTGCCTCCCAGGTTCAAGCAATTCTCCTGCCTGAGCCTCTTGAGTAGCTGGGATTACAGGTGCATGCCACCATCCCCAACTAATTTTTTGTATTTTTTGTAGAGACGGGGTTTCACCATGTTGGCCAGGCTGCTCTCAAACTCCTGACCTCAAGCAATCGGCCTGACTTCACCTCCCAAAGTGCTGGAATTACAGGCATGAGCCACCACGCCCTCCATTCCTCTGTTTCTTTTCAAGTTCAGGAGCTGCACAAGACCTGCTTCAGATGGCAAGCCTTCAGAGTTACATATATGTAAACCAGTATGTCCAGCCAGGTTTTAATATAAGTAGTTAACCAGGTGGGAACTGTACCATGAGCTAATGCTTAAGAAAGCTCAAAGTAGCTGGATATGAGGTTAGGCTTCATTGAAGACTTTGATACTAAATTAACAATTTCTTAGAGTGAAGTCACAGATGATGTGATGAAATTGAGCATTTAGCAGAATCATCTGAGTATTTAGTGAAATCACCAAAAAACCAATTCAGAATGGAATATTAGGTAATAAAAACTAACCTGAATGTTCACAGACAGGTGTATCAATTGGCATAAATAAATAAATAATGCATTATAAGGTACTAAACACATTAAAGCAAATAACCTAGATAATTATCAACATGGCTGTTTCAAAAACATAATGTCGAAGATCAAAATGTCAGTTCCAGGAAGTTATAAACTATTTAATACAATGCATAGATGCTTTAAAAAGATAGAGATTAATATTGTATGATATTTATTGATCAATTCATATGTAGTTTAAAGAATAAAAATCTGAAATTCAAGAATACATATAACCACTTATTTGCATAATTTAGAGTGAGTTTTTAAATCTTTCCTTTGTTTTATAAAAGCTAAAAGTTTTAAACAAAGATGACAAACATTAATACTGTTTATTCCAAATGATAGCTTTATACATAGTTGTTAAATTAGTCCATTTAATTTCTGCATTTACGAAAATTAATTATGCTTTCTAAAAAGCTTATTACCAGGGAAAGATGTCTTTCTTGTTTCTATAAATAAGAGGTTAAGTAATACTCTATAGAGTCACGAAAGGATACAGTAGGCAGGAATTCAGTATATTAGGTACCATCACAGGTTGATATGGTAAAAAGCAAAGACACAACTAATTAAACAAAAATTAAAACAAGTAAAACATTTTGTGGCATTTCTTAAAAATATAAGAGTTCATCTACATTTCAAGAATACTCCAAACAAGCAATGACTTTCCAGGTATAAAAGATCTGATACTTTATAATGCCTACTAAAATATATTATTGCTAGCGTGATATAAAAGAGAGATATAAAACACATAATAATTGAGAGTACCCTCGTAAAAACCTTTATTGCCCTAAATAGCCTTATACCTATTGAGATAGTTATCTTTATTGCTTGCATATATGACTGGCCAAATTCCACATCCAAGACCAAAAAAAATTTAGGTCATTTACTGGCAGCCACTTTGGTTCCAAAGTGATGCCTTTTTCAAGGAAGCCATGGTTCCTATTCCTTCAATGCTTGTCTTTTTTCCTCAGTAAGCCTAGATTCTTTGTTCTGACTGAGTTTTATGACATTCCCATAAGCTCATTTAAGTCTTTTTTTTTTTTTTTTTTGAGATGGAGTCTTGCTCTGTTGCCCAGGCTGGAGTGCAGTGGCACAATCTTGGTTCATTGCAACCTCTGCCTCCTAAGTTCAAGCAGTTCTCCTGCCTCAACCACCTGGGTAGCTGGGACTAAATGCACATGCCACCTTGCCCAGCTAATTTTTGTATTTTTAGTAGTGACAGGGTTTCACCATGCTGACCGGGCTGGTCTCAAACTCCAGACCTCGTGATCCACTCACCTCGGCCTCCCAAAGTGCTAGGATTACAAGAGTGAGTCACTTCTCCTGGCCCATTTATGTCTTTTCTACCAAATGCACTTTTGAAAGTCTTGTCATAGATGGAAATCATTACCCTGCACATCTAGTGTTAATGTAGCCTCAAGTAGGGCAATGTCTTGATATGCCTTAATAAGGCTTGAAGAACTTTCAAGACTATGGCTGATTTTTGGTGTTTTTGGCCATTTCCTCATAGATATTCCCTGCTTTTCCACCCTTGAGGTAAAGATTTTACACTTATGATGGAGAGATAATCTCCCTCTTTTTTGGATCCTTGGCAGGCATGTGAATACTGCAAACATTAGACCTAAGAGGAAACTCGCTGAAGTAGTATCAGGTTCACTGAGGACTTCCATGGTCTGCTTGTGCTCTGCAATGTAAGAAATCCTTCTTACAACTTGGCTTTCTGTGCTTCACAAGAAAACTCTAGTTTATTTAACACAAGCTTTCACTGAATGTTCTTTATGCCAGGTACTATTCTAAACGTTTTACAAATAAGAACCCACTTAATCCCATGATATTCTGAAAATACAGATGCTATTTGCAGCTATATTTAAGATATGAATAAATTGTAGATGAGAAATGGCTTAAGTAATTTACTTAATATGAAGCAGCTACTAGGTATGGGAGCAAAATCCAAACTTCAGCGTTAAGTTTTCCTTTAAGGTCGTTTAGTTATCTCAACTATCATTCTGAATTCCCTTGATTTATCTCCACATTCAATACATCCAGCTCTCCCAGAGTTTTGATTGGTTTCACCAAATAACTAAATTAGAAAGAATAAGACATCGTATTTGTTAGCACAACAGGATGACTATAGTAAAAGATAATTTAATTGAATGTTTTGAAATAATGAAGAAAGCATACCCTGATGTGATTATTAGGCATTGAATGCTTATAATAAAATATCTCATGTAACCCATAAATATATGCACCTACTATGTACGCAGAAAATGAAAATAAATAAGTAAATAACCACTTAGTAATCATTGTCATACCACAAGCCCCAAAAGAAGAACTTCAAAGGTTAATAAATGTAAAATACCAAGCACCTGATCCTTAGCCTACAATTTAATTGGACTTTTATATATACTAGCATGACAATCATGTCTGTGTGTGTGTTTGGCACACAGGGAGCTGTTCTTCACCATCTTTAGCACAGATAAGAGCAAACCTCACCAGAAGTCACACAACAAAAGGGTCAGAAAATTTGAAGTTTTGACGGAACCTTAGAAGGTCAGTAAGTAAGTCTGGGTCTTTTTTCTCCTTTCCTCATGTCTCAGCATTTTTCCATGCAAATAGAAGCCACAAAAACACTAAGAAAAGACTAAATTCTTACAGAAAACTATCCATGATCTCTTAAAGTCTTGCATCCCTAAAAAGTTAGAAATCCACACCTTAACAAGCGTACACAAATTTACTTTATTTAATAGGACTATGGAGTCTCAGAAAAGTTTTAAATTTCTCAAAAGCAAAAAGAGAAGCTATTTTCCTTTAGATCCCTCCTCTATAAAATAAGCATTGAATTCAAACTCCAAGCTGAGGGCAAGGAGAGAAGTTCACAGGCATTGTAAAGGGCACTGACACAAGTTCAGCATTTGAGGGAGGGCCTCTTCCCGGCAAACCCAGGAATGGTCATCCAGGAGGTCCTTTCTCATAACAACTTGGTAAACTCTGCAAGTCAAAGGCAGGTTTTGTCCTTCCACAGCGGTAACCAGATGCCCAATTCCCATGGCCCTGAGCAGCCCAGGAAGAAGCAGAGACCTTCCAGGAACAGTGACAATGGGTGTGAAGGGAGGAACTTTGGGAGGAGGGGCAGTGAGTGTGTGAGCCTGGAGCAGGACCATCTGTGGGACAAGGGAGACAGCAGGACAAGATGTGGAGCATCCTGCTTGGGGCAGTGGGGAAAGGGAGAGACACAGTTCATGGCATGCTAACGTCATTCACCATGAAGGCTCCTCTCCTGACCAGGCATGTCCCGAAAGGAGCTTGTGGAAAGAGAAACTGCAATGGAAGAAGCTCAAGGGTTCTGGGGAGTGCACTTTACACCTCACTTCCCCAAATTAATAAATAAACTCTAATGCCCCAAATTAATGAATCAACTCTAATGCCTCCTAAGAAATGTTGCCTGATACAATGAGAAGAAAGAGGAGGAGGGGAGTGATGATGGTGATGATGCATTCAGCAAAAACACTGCTGACTTTCTGCTAAGCACATAACAGTGATGATTAAAGCTTAAACTACAATTCCTCTCTATACTTGCACAATGCCTTCAAATACACTTTCCTAGTCTAGAATATTTATATTTATATTTTAATTTGTATGTTCTGAGAAGTATTTTTACATGCGTTAAGTACGTTAACCTAAAAACAACTCTAAATTCAACATAAATAAATACCTTAATCACCAAAAGGTGAGTTGACTTGCCCAAGGTCACACAGTAATTATAGAAAGTAGCACAGCCAGAATTTAGGTCCTGTGAATTGGACACCAGGGTCTGTACTCTCTATCTGTGTGTTCTATTGCCCACCCTGCAAAAGCTGTAAAATTCTAAAACAGCTGGAAAGAAGGGAATGTTATAAGTAGATAGGATCACATGTGATTAAACTGTCCCTCTCATAAGAGGACGGTTGTTCAGAGAGTTTAAGTATCTGAACCACTATCCAGCAGTGGTGAGAAAAACCAGTAACTTCAATCTACTTCTCAGCTCTCTGTTTCTTCCACCACTTTGCTCTCTCCTTTTTCTGCAGACTCCAGCAGCGATTTTACTTATGATTATTTTGTAAAAGTTTCCCATCCACAACGTCA